CTTGTCCATAATGCGGAAGCCGCAAAGTCGATATCGTACTTCATTCGAGACTCGATTGTGATCGAATCAAGAATTTGTAGTGAACGGAGCAGTTTAAAATCTCGAGAAATACCGGACCGATTTCGTTCCGAACCACGCACCTTTTACAAATTCTCGAGATGCATCTGGCTCAGGTAATCTTGTAGTTAACGTGTACATTAAAGAAGATCGAGTGATAAACAAACCTTAAGCTCAGTTTGATCCGTATTTTTGACTAAGGCTCACCGTAGAGTTTAACCTGAGGTTTATTTAACCTGTGGCTGATGTTTATTTCTGGTTCACACTTCAACATGAGCATGATTGAGCCTTATCCAAGTTCACGTTGAGGATTTATGACGCCTCCTTGTTTCATAAACACGTTGAATACACAACTATTCCCTCTTCATATCTCAATAAAGTCCGGAAGCTTCTGAAAATTTTTTAATGGTCTAGGTAGCATTTCGCTCGTCTTCTTGTAAGTTTGAGTGACGAGTAGCTGAGGAGGATGGCNATATTGAATTGTATTCCAGCCTCGTGATGACTTCCACATAGGATTTTGGGGCACAGAAATGTGGAACGCGAATACGGAAAATAGTGAAGATTGCCTTTATTCGAATATTTGGGCACCAGCTAATGCCAAGTATGTGATACTGTTGGGACATCTTTTCATTCAGAATTGTACATTTTTACGTGTTTGCCTCTTTGTTGATGCTCTTGAATGCTCTCGGGGGCTTCACACCCACCAAATGTTCTCTGGGCGAAATTTCCAGCTGTGCACACCTTCACTTACCAAGAAACTCTGAAGTTGGCTCTTGAATGCCTGTTGAACGGTTTCACTTGCAGTAATCTGCCGGTAATGATTTGGGTGTATGGTGGAGGATTCTTTTACGGTAGTCCATCGTTGATATTGTACGACGGTAAAGCATTGGCGTTGACTGGCAACGTGGTTGTTGTGAACATAAATTATCGCGTTGGTCCATTCGGATTTCTGTATCTCGGCAATGAGGGAGCACCTGGTAATATGGGCCTACTTGACCAGGTAAGTGGGATTTTATGTGTTTACTTCAACACATGAGATCAAATTGTTCACGATAACTCTTCTCTCATTTTGTATGAATCAGCATGAACTTTAGATTCAAACCTTTATTACGGAAGCAGTTACTGACTGACTCTAATGAAGCGTTGTGTGCATTGAAATTTCGGTTTTGATTTTGAATTGAGTCAGTTATGTTGCACTGCTTCACTTAAGATATTTTTTGCTCCAGTGAAATGAACATACAAATTCAGAGTTATCATTTGAGATAGCTCAAGAATAAGTATGCGATGATTCATGTTCGCTGAGAAACTCTATCGTCCAGGATGCTGGAAGCAGCAGTTCATGACGAACACATGTGAACAAATCACATTCAAATTTGATCTTCAATCAAGTAACTATTTTTACAACAGCAAATGGCCATCAAATGGGTACGTGATAACATCGCGAATTTCGGTGGCGATCCTTCAAAGATCACGCTATTCGGAGAATCAGCAGGAGCTGCCTCAATAGTCGCTCAAATGATAGCACCAGATAGTCAGGGTCTATTCAAGAACGTAATTCTTCAATCCGGAACACTCACTAACAAATGGGCTATGAACTCGCCGGCAAGAGCTTTAGAAAAGTCTCATGATTTAGTCAAACGCAGTAAATGTGAAAAAGATGTGGTGAGTTTTTCCCCTTAACGATAACTTAGTTTAATATTTGACAATCTGCCTTGATACCTTCAATTTCGGCAATCGGAAACATTAAACGGCGAGAATGAGTACAGCTAAGCTAACAATTATATCTGTAGTTCGAAATCACGTTTGCGCTAAAAGTATATAGTCAACAGTTCGGAAACGAGTAAAGTTTCTGGCTCCATAAGAGCTCAAGAAATTCATTTTTGAGTCACGGTTTAGTTACGGTTTTGACTTCAGATCAGTACTAGACTTGATGCTTATGACCAATTGATTATGGCTGGTTATTGAACATCGGTAGAAGCAATTGCTTGAGGCGAGTCCCTCGAAAGTGATGAGACGAGAAAAAATCAAGGCCAAGAAGAGCTGAATCAGATTGAATGCTGATGAAAAGGCAAGTTTCAGGTATCAGAAACAGTCGAATGCTTGCGAGCGTTAACATCCGAACAAGTAATTGACGCAGAGATGTGGAACATCGTCACTTTTATGGAATTCCCGTTTGTTCCGGTATCCAAAGACCCTAACTTCTTCAAAGAAAAGGATGGCTTTGTGGCACTTCAAACTGGTGATTATGACAAAACTATCAATATTCTGGCTGGATTCAATCGCGATGAAGGTATTTTAACGATTATTGTAATCACAGCGATAATGTTGCTAAGGGTATTGATATTAATAATAATAATCTTCAAAAAGCCACAACGCTGAAAACTCGGACATGTAAGAAGCNAAGCCGAATGGAAGAGGAATGTATTTTCATGCTAAAAACGCCTAGTAATAGAATAACTGAATCCAGTAAAACAATCGCATGCGCGTAAGCACTGCTTCAGACAGTGATACCCAGTTTTTCCAAATTACTTCAGTGACAACATCCCCTGATTCGCATGAAGCTTGAAAACAATGAAAAATTTTTGTGGTCATGAGTATGGAAATTTCCGGCAAGCTGAAGAACAGAATGCTTCACTCTAACAAAATTGGCAATGATAGTGTTGGGAATTCCTGAATAATCATAACTGAAGTTTACAGGAAATTTCTGGGCTATCTACAACTTCGTAGATGATTTTTACAAGCCGGAAAAACCAGAATTGACTTGGAAAAGGTTCATCAAAGATATAGGCAAGGCGTTCCCCTCTCATGCTAATAAATTACACACAGAGACCACTTTCACATATTCCGATGGGCAATGTAAAACTCCTGGAGGCCTTGAGAAAAGTACATGTTATGCGGAAGAAGTACGTCTGCTCGATCATTTGCTAAATTCAGTTCTATTCCCGTTAATGNATGAGAACTGAATTATTACAATCGAAATGCCATTGAACGGAATTATGCACTGAAGTTGAAAAATTAACTAATTGTGAGAATGCATCCTGACCAGTTTATTGAAAATTCACAAGAGTAGCAGTTACAGAAGGTAGTTTAAGAAAGATTGTACACTAAATCTGATTGGTGTTCGACATTTTTGAGCTTTTTTTAAAATGTATTATAGCGATTTAATGAAAAGAATGAGACAACTTGAGGTTTCAACAACATTCATTGCACAAAGGCAGGTTAGATGTTGTTGTTTTGCAGCTAAACCAAGTGATTGGTGATTACTTCTTCACGTGCGATCTTCTTTGGCTAACTGATCAAATGAAAAACGGTCCAGGACAAGTGTACGTGTACTATTTCACTCAACCGAGCAGGTGAACATCATCTAGCGCTACTATTTTATCCCTATAGTATCACATCAAATCAACGCCATCTCGAGCCAAGCAAACAATTCATGTTCCTGCTCAATTTTGAGATTTCGGTGAATGTCTAGATTCATTGGAGCAACCAAACACCGTTCACTCGTGTTTGGTTGCTAATCTCTTCCCTCTCCCATTTTTCGACCATCCATAGCTCGCCTAAACTCAGTCACTAATTATTGTGCATTACTCAAATTATCGACAAATTTTCGGATGGGTTTCCGATTTTCCCCTGATACTATTTTGGGGAATGCACGGT